TCTGGGACCCCTCGGGAGATAACCACCTGGTGGCTTAGGCCCGCTCCCCAGGTGGCAGATGGCAGGCCCGATCCCTCGGTGCCTGCCCCACCTCCCCGGGTTGCACACACAGCAGGGCCAATCCGGGGGTTGGGGCGCCGCCCCGGGTCGGGTCACACACGGGACGCCCAGACGAGCTGGTGGATCGCTGCTGCCCCGCCCGGCCGCCCCGGGTCGGGTCGCACATGGACGCCCGCCACCCCGGGTCGCAGATAGCAGGTCCGGATGGCAGCAGGGCAGCGGGATGGCGCTGTCCCGCCCCACCGCCCCGGGTCACAAATAGCAGGCCCAGATGGCGGCGGGGCAGGCGGGATGGCACTGTCCCGCCCTGCCTGCAATATGCAAATTAGCCACCATCTTTGTTGGCGGTTAATTTGCATATCACTTGATTGGCCAGTGGGGTGTAGCAAAGGTATGGTCAATTACCATATTTGTCTATTATTAGATAGGATACTCAACTCCAAGTCCTCATCTTACTTGACACATGGCAACTTTTCATGCAATTGCTCACTTTCTCCTTGCTTTCCTCTCATCTTACATTATACCACACTCTCCTGGTTTAGCTCCCACCTCAGTCTCTGCTACTACTCAGTTTCTGCTTATTTTTCCTACTCCCCACTCCATTTCTTAATGTTGGAGTGTCCCGGAGCCTGGTCCTTAGTCACTCCTCATTTATACTCATTCCCTTGTGACTTTATCCAGTCCCATGGTTTTTACATCTATCTATCTATCTATCTATCTATCTATCTAGTTATCTATCATATATCTATCATATATCTTCCTTCCTACCACCTATACTTCAAGCAATCATCTATAGCCAGAACTTTCCCTGAAGATCATCAGTCTTCCATGTTGAGACTAGACTATTGAAAGTATGGTTTCAGAAAAAAGCTGGAAGACTAGTTATGCTACTGCTGTAATCATAGCAACAGAAGGAGTGAGAAGTGGTCATGTTATGAATTCATTTTGAAGGTAGAGACAACCAGATTTACTGATGGATTGGATGTGGACTGTTAGGAAAAAAATGTCAAGGATTATATCAATATTTTGTCCTAAAGATGTGGAAAGATGGAGTTGCCATTATCTGATATGATGAATGCTGTAATCGGAGCATGTTTTTCTTTTTTTTTTCTTTTAAAAAAATATATTTTATTGATTTTTCACAGAGAGGAAGGGAGAGGGATAGAGAGCCAGAAACATCAATGAGAGAGAAAAATCGATCAGCTGCCTCCCGCACATCTCCCACTGGGGATGTGCCTGCAACCAAGGTACATGCCCTTGACTGGAACCGAACCTGGGACCCTTCAGTCCGCAGGCCGATGCTCTATCCACTGGGCCAAACCAGCCAGGGATGGAGCATGTTTTTCATGTGTGATTAGGTGATGGTGGTAGGTGGGGAATCAGTAGTTCAGCTTTTAATTTTGAGATTAATATTAGATATCCAAGAATATATGTTGATTAGGCAATATGGGCATGTGACACTATCTCATGAGATCATGAGCTCCACTGTGCAAATCCTGTATCACGTTCATTGTTGTGTTTGCTATATATAGTACCTTGCATATGTTAAGTACTCACATATTTTAATTGTTAAACATAAAATGCTTATCAAGGTCAACTTTATTATGATTCTTTTGGGGTCTTTACCGCAGGGTATTTTCTCCTATGGCAGGATCCCCCATTTCACAGTGTTTATCATACTAACGTAATGATTTGTCTGCTTCCCCAGCCCAGACTTTTGATCCAAGTACTATTAAGGTGTTACTATGTGCCAGCCATCATCCTAAGCCCTGGGTATATGAGACACTATTGTAATTATTCAGGTAAGAACAAATGAGAAACTGAACACAAGCTGAAGTAGTAAAAATAGAGAAAAGTAGCAGGATTGAGATATATCAAGATTAGAATCCATTGACTAACTTCATGTTTGGGGTAAGCAAAAACATGGATTTATACTTTGGTAGAGTAAAGGGTGAGTTTTCAGATTTTGAATTAATTTGCGTTGCTTTTGCATAACAAAGTTCAACTTACTGCTCTTCATCACATCATGGGCAGAAGACCTAGTATCAGTGATTGTTCACTCCCCCCCCCCCCCAAAGCACGTGGGCCTTCCATTGGCTTTCTGGCTCTAGGTCAGCGGTTCTCAACCTGTGGGTCGTGACCCCTTTGGGGGTCAAACGACCCTTTCACAGGGGTCGCCTAAGACCATCGGAAAACACATATATAATTGCATATTGTTTTTGTGATTAATCACTATGCTTTAATTATGTTCAATTTGTAACAATGAAAATACATCCTGCATATCAGATATTTATATTACGATTCATAACAGTAGCAAAATTAGTTATGAAGTAGTAACAAAAATAATTTTATGGTTGGGGGTCACCACAACATGAGGAACTGTATTAAAGGGTCGCCGCATTAGGAAGGTTGAGAACCACTGGTCTATATGTTCCCCTCCCTGCCTTCCCCCTGCCTGCCCTTGGGGGTGGGAAACAAGCCCCTCTCTATATCCTACTGAGATCTTCATTGCAGGACTCACTCCATGCAGATAACAGGCAGTGGAGGTGGGATATAGGCAAGAGAGCATCAGCAGCCTCCCAGCTGAGTTCTCCAGGAAGATCTAACCATTAACAAAGAGGGAGCAGAGAGGGCGAGATTCTATCATTTGCTTTGGACATTCCATCACAATAGCTACATGCTTTTGATAAACACAAAGCACCTCCTCAAGGCTGGATCACTGTGACACTTCTCTAAAAAGCTCCTCTCCAGATATGGCCATGTATAGAAGTCATCAGTGAATTTTGCCTGTGGGATTCCTGGCCACTCCTTCTTGTCAGTACTAGCCTCATGTCCACATTGCTCCTCTGGGCTCAAGGAAACCATGGGAAGCCATGCTGGAATTCACGTCTGACCTTTACCTTCAATGCACCTTAAATGAGAGTCTTCCTTTTCTACTCAAGTCCCTTCATTCACAGTCCAGGGAGGGGCTGGGAGGAGTTGTGTAGAATGCTGACCCCGCTTAAGTGTGGGTTAAAGCTCCTTCCCTAGAAAATCATAGAAGAATCCATAGGCAGCAAAATAGCAGACATATCTCATAGCAACATGTTTACCGATACATCTCCCTAGCACAATCGAAACTAAGGAGAAAATAAACAAAAGGGACTACATCAAAATAAAACGCTTTTGCACAGCAAAAGAAACCATCAGCAAAACAAGAGAGCCCACTGTATGGAAGAACATATTTGCCAATGTTACATCCTATAAGGGTTTAATCTCCAAAATTTATAGGGAACACATAAGATATAAGATGAAATCCAATAGGAAGATAAACAATCCAATCAAAAAATGGGCAAAGGACCTAAATAGACACTTTCTGAAAGTAAACATACAGAAGGCCAAGAGGCACAAGAAAAAATGCTCAAAGTCACTAATTATATGAGAGATGCTAATCAAAACAACAATGAGGAACCATCTCACACCTGTCAGACTGGCTATCACCACAAATCAACAAAAGACAAGTTGGTAAGGATATGGAGAAAAAGGAACCCTCATGCACTGCTGGTGGGAAGGCAGACTGGTGCAGCCACTGTGGAAAACAGGAGTTTCCTCAAAAAATTAAAAATGGAACTTCCATTTGACCCAGTAATCCCACTTCTAGGACTATATCCCAAGAAATCAGAAACACCAGTCAGAAAGAATATATGCATCCCAATGTTCATAGCAGCACAATTTACAATAGCTAAGATTTGGAAACAGCCCAAGTGCCCATCAGCAGATGAGTGCATTAAAAAAACTTTGGTACATCTACACAATGGAATACTATGCTACTGTAAAAAGGTACTCTTACCATTTGCAACAGCATGGATGAACCTGGAGAGTATTATGCTAAGCGAAATAAGCCAGTCAGAGAAAAATAAGTATCACATAATCTTACTCATTTGTGGAATATAATGAACATAAACTGATGAACAAAAATAGAACCAGAGACACAGAAGCATTGAACAGACCATCAAACCTCAGAGGGAAGGTGGGGGTGGGGGGTGGGGGTAAGAGATCAACCAAAGGACTTGTATGCATGCATATAAACATAACCAATGGACACAGACAATAGGGGGGTAAGAGCCTGTACTGGGGGTTGGGAGATGGCTGAGAAAGTTCAATGGCTGAAAAAGGAAACATATGTAATACTTTCAACAATAAAGAATTTAAAAAAATAATAAAGCTCCTTCCCTAGATAGTGTGGACGAAAGGGGCCAAATGCTGACCTGACAAGTTCAGGGGAGGCCTGCATGGCAGTCTTGCAAACTCAGAGACCTAAGTAACCACAAAGGATGGTCTGAAATTAAACTTTAACTAAAGCAGTTATGGTGGGCAGTTACGTCCTGGGCCAGTATCTTTACTGACAAAGTCAACCTTTACCTTAACTGAGCCTGTCTTTTTGCATCTATGATAACATACCCTTGAAATGTCTAGGTAACTTGTAACTTCCCTTTTTCTGGAGCCCCTGGAGCACAACTAAATGTGCTGGGCGCCAGGACAGATGCCACAAATTCCTTCATTATCATGTTAATTGATCCTGCACCCACCTAAGTATGTGTCCATCATTTTACTTTTTATCCAATCCCAGAGGTTTCCCTGCTTTGCTTTATCCCTCCTCCTTAATCTATCACCAATGAATTTCATGTAACCCACCTGTGTCCCTCCTTTGATTGCAAATGTATAAGTACAAATGTAACCCCGCCATTCTCAATTCCTAGAGGTTCTGCTTCCCAGCATATGTCGACAGTTGGGCTCAAATAAACTCACAAAAATTATTTACAGGTTTCAATGGTTTTTTTACGTTAACATTACAAAGGGCATTTTAGCCTCACTCATGACTTCCCTTAACAAACAACAGTGGAGGTAATGAGCAGACAGACAACTCTTTGCTTAAAGATATAGACTGTATTTTGGGTGGTAGTGCCCCACCTACATATTAATGACAAAGACAATAGCTATCCCTTCAAGGGATGCAGACATGGGGGAGCCTACAAAGTCCTTTGATTGTGCTGGGTCTTCCTGAGCAGGCCAACGTTTCCCTCTGAGGTGAGAGTTGAGAGTTGGGGTGGGATCCTGGTTGGGTGGCACAAGCCACTTGAGGACAGTGCCGAGGACAATGATGGGGGTGGCCTAAGCCTGAGGAAGACTGGAGTTGATGGGAGCAGGAGCGGTGCCTGAGCTTACTGTTTGGGGAATGGGAGCCTTCCAAGGAGGCCAGGCCCACCTGCTTCTCAGTCAGGGGAGATGGGACTTTGGGGTCCCCTCTGATCTTCTTCTCTGTCTTAGTTTGCTCCATGGGACTTTTGGCTGGAGCCAGCCTCTTTGCTACATTTTCTTTTCTGGTGTTGGCCACGTTCACAGCTGTCAAAAACATGGATTCCTTGTGCTCTTTGCCTTTTGCCTTGAGGTTGATATACTGCAGAAAGGATTTCATCTTATATCTCAAGTCTGATTCTGGAAGGCTGGGCCTCTTGTGAGTATGGGCTGGCATCACCTGCCCCTGCAATACCTGACCTTGCAAAGTTGGGCCCTGTAATGGCTTATGCTGAATGAGTTGGGCCAGGACAGGCTGGGCCTGTGACGCCTGGGGCCCGACAGGCTGGGCATTCTTAGGAATCCTTGCTCCCTTGAGGCTGACATTGAGCCCGGTTTGATTGTCTTGCAGGTCATTCTTCTTAGATTCCTTCCCTCCAGGGACTCCTGGAAGGAGCTCTGGGGGCTTAAGCTGAGGGTGATGCTGGGAACTCTGTTGACAGAGAGCATCAAGGCGAAAGCCATGTCTCCGAAAGCCTTGTCTCCGTAGCCAGGGGTTTTGGGGTGTCCTGTTCAGAAGCATCCCTTTTGGCCTCTGGGCTACAGGGTGGCTTTTTTCTCTTGTTGATAAGAGCACAAACCCTGCATCTCCTTCTCTACGTTTTTCTGACGATTTGGGTTTCCTTGGGTCCTCTTTCTTTTCAGTCAGCATGGGGACTGGGGCTGAGTACTTGCTCTTGCCAGGGCTTTGGGACTCAGGGATCTGGGACTCCTCCAGGCTGGGGTGGTTCACACTGGCCTCCAGCTGAACACAAGGCACTGGGCCCTCTGTCATGTCTCTATAGGGTTGAGTCATCTTGCAGGGCCCCTGGGCAGAACCATGGGGTGCTGCTCTGGAACTAGGTTGCTTCTGGTTCTGCTGTACCGCCTTTAACTCAGTGGACAACTGTTCCTTAAGGGAGAGCCACTCTGGATGTGGGGTACAGGGAATGTCTGGTGGGATGGGCAGTTCCCGGAGGCATGTTTTTCCTTGGTTGTTTAGACTCCCAAGAGACTCCTGTGTGGATGTGTTCTCTGGGGTTGCTCCAGTTTGTTCCCTGGACTCCCTTGCCTCTGTGGGAATTCCCCATTGTATCTCTAAGATCTTCCTTCTCAGGTGGAAATTTAGTTTGGCCAAGATGGGCTTCTTGAATAAGTAGGGCCGAGCCAACTCTGTCTGCCTTTCTAGAGGCTCCTTCTCAATCATTCCTTCCACTTGCACTTCAGACTGAAAATCACCTGCAATTTCTTCACAAGTCTCTTTGGTATCTTGAAAAAATGGCTCATGACTTAGATCCTGCTCTTCAAGTGAGATCATCTGAGTCAGAGGTTCTCTTAAGATTTTGACGGCCTCAGGCACCACCTCTGTGGTGGCAGCATGAGCAGTGATCGCTGGGGCCATGGCCTTGGAGGGAGCCACGTAATAAAGAGGATTCAGCCCTGATAAGAAGGTCAGATACTTGTGCCGTAAAATCATCTCCAGTTTCTCAAGGACTTCCTTGGACAGGGCTGGAGTTAGCTTGCGAGGCTCAGTGGCAGCATCTGGGAAGGTCTCTTGCTGCTGATCAGGGACTGTTGGCATCCGGTGCCTAACTTTCTGTTGTAGGTCAGGGTCGGTTGCTGCCTGTCGTTCCAAGAGCTTGCTTTCTGGGATGCAAGTGAAGGGAGCCACTTTGAGGCCCCCGGGAATTAGGCACTCACAAGACCTATACACATGGGCAGGGACCTTACCCTCATGAATCTGCCCACATTTGGAGTTGATGTGGCTCTGCAGTATTGCCTTGGCCTGGTCTAATAAGTGTGGCATGAGGACTGACACTGGGTCCTTAAAGGGTGCGAAAGGGTCATCAGCACCAGTAGCCTCTAGGGCTGAATGTTGGGCAACACTCACATTGGCTAGGGCTGTGCTGCTCCAGGATGGAGTCTGCTGGTGAGTGGGGGCCAGGAGCAACTGGAAGGACTGCTGGATCATCTGGGGCAAGCCCCAGCGATGGTGAATCAGCTGCCTCTGGAGGTGGAAGTCCAGCAGCCTCCGGGCGTGCTCTCTTGTGAGAACAGAAATGGGCTTTCCCGGCCAGGAAGTTTTCACAATCCTAGGAGACTGGGCTGTGCCACAAGACTTATATTGCACAGGGTTCTGGGTGTGCTGAGCTCTTTGCAGAACAGCTGGCAAACCCCACTGACTCTGGAGCTGCCTCTGCAGCATGTGACACTCTAAGGCTTCACACTCAGCCAGAGTCAGAAACGGGACATGGATCTGAGTTGGTTGATGATCAGATGGCATGACCCAATTAGGGGAAGATGAGGAAGAGGGTGGGGCTGACTGGGGTGGAGTTCTAGGCAACAGAGGGAGGAAGGACAGCTCCTTGAAGAGAAAAGGATCCTCCAAGGAGAACTTGGACGTGCTCCCATCTGTGGAGTGATCTAGAGAACTCGAGGAGGCATTAGCCAGAGACTCACTGTGCAGGGAAGGTAAGCCACAGAACAGTTGGATGTGTTTCTGCTGTAAATGGCCCACTGAGTCATTAGCCTGTTGGCCAGTAAGTGGATAGAGGCCACTTAAGTCTTTAAATATTGGAGAGGGCAAGGCTAGAGCCAGGTGGTTTGGGTTTTGCTGGTAGTGGTGTCTTTGTACTGGGTTTATAATGGACCATTCAGAAACCCAGAATGCCTGGGTAGCCTGGCCAGCCATACATGGACCCCAGGTCTGATAAGAAATGGGCGCAAAAATCTCTACAGAGAATTCATTTTGTATGAAAGAAGCTGGTTGGTTGTTTACAAGTTGGTAAAACAATGGTAGGTTTGGCATAAGCTGCCTCAGGGACTCCTCTACGCGTCTGGGCAGTCCCCACCTCTGGAAATGCATCCACTTTTTTACATGTACCTCAAGAAGCCTCAGGACTTCAGGACTGGAGAATGGCAGGTAGGAAGGGAGGACAGTGACCATAGGCAAGGCCATAGAATGTGTCAGGGTAGTGATGTCTTGGTTCAGGGTCAGCATAGGGACCTGGGGATGCAAGGGTGGCTGACCTTGGTTCCCATACACACGGTTGAGATTGTGTCGTGTCACCTCCTGCTGGTTCACCGGAATTCTAGGCCCTTCGAACTGTAAAGAAGACATAGTCTCATGCAACCTAGGCATATCTTGACTTTGAATTCTCTGTCCTAGATTGACATTTTTAGCCAAGTAATCTTGCATACTCACTGGATCGTCTGATTGGCCAGCTGACTGGGTAAATGACCGGGATAAGGACTTCTTGGCTGTTAATTGTGACACTGTTTGGGTTGCAGATGGAAGTGAGGGCTTTTGAGTATGTGTGGAATGATGCTCCAGACTCTGCTCAAAAGACATATTGGACTTGGGCAAAATCTTTAGGCAAGGAGAGCCCTCTGATGGTCCTGGTGAAGTTGCATAGATCGGGGTGTCCTCATCCACCAGCAACTGTTGGATCTCCAGAGCCGTGGCATTGCAGATTTGGCAGGAGGTATCTGCACACAGGAGCCTCCGCACACTTCCCTCCTGAGGAAGCCAGCCCTGGCTGGAAGAGGAAACATGGCAACTGTTATTGATGGAGTGACAGCTTCCTCTTTGGAAGTTGTGGCCTGACTATTGGCCCTGACCTCCCTGTACGCCCTGGGTCTTACCCGCCTAGTACTTAGTCCTCTACTTTTCTTCCTAGGAAATCTCCACTTTGCAAGTTATGGTGTGCTGGGTTGAGGGACTTGTTGGGCAAGGTTTCAGACAACGCATGAGAGCACAGGGCCATGAGTGACTGAGAGATAGGTGAGTTCTTTGTTGACCTGGGCTGAGCAGCTTAACCAGAGATGGGAACAAAGGATGGGGGAGCCAATGGTTAGCTAATGGGGCATCAGAAGGGCCATCACCAGGTAGGACCTGGACTCAGTCTCATTTGGGGCAAAGACAGACACAGCCTGGTACTTAGTATTTCCCAGCTGTGGAAAATGAGGTCACATGGAAATTCTGCTTTCAGGGGACTGTGATGTGTACACAGCACCTCTTGGGAGTCCATCCTATTCTCTAGAGCTCTTAAGAAGAGGAAGAGATGACAAGCTCCTGGCTGGGGGCTGTCTCAGGGACTGGGCCCCCTTAATACACAATCAGAGGAGGTAATGTCAGCAAGGTCTAGGGTTCTGCCCTTGAAAGGGTGTTGCTGTAAGAAGAATATGACAGTGATGGCTTATTTATGCACTTATTTATCCATTCTCTCAGCTGGATAACTGGTCTTTGGCTGAGTATCAACCCCTTTAGTGTCTTTTGTGAATTAAGCACTAGTCAAATTCTGAATTCCAGGAGCACTGTGAGCGTAGCCCAGAGCAGAACTGGGACTCCTCCCTCCAGAGATGTCTGAGCCCCTTTTGCCCTGGCAACCATCTCAACAGTGCTCCAGCCTCTGCTGTGTATGACTCCATCCCAGTCATCATCCCTCATCCCTGTCCCAGGCCAAGTTGTCCAGGCTGAAGTTGGAAAACTACAAAAATCAAATGATCACCTTTTCATGACAGAGAGCAGCTCCCACGGCTTCTCCGTTTCTTTCCGGAAATGTCTCCTAGCTGAAAAACCAGGAGACAGTGTTACATGGAATGAGAGAGGATTGAGGGTATCCTATAGGAATCTGAAGGCCTTTGAATGAGAGAAAATTGGAAATCCTAACAGTCAATGCTCTGAGGCATGTCTGTATACAACTTAGCCAGTTACAATGAGTTGTCCAGGACCTAATCTCATTAGATCATCACAGCCACACTGTGAGTGAAGCAAGATCTTCAAATGCCCATTTAATGAATAAAGGATTGAAAAATGAAGTGACTGGGAGAGGAACCAAGATGGCGGCATAGGTAAATACCTGGATTTGCTGCCGCGCACAACCACATAAAAACTACAACTAAAAGACAAAACAGATATCATCCAGAACCATAGGAAGTCTAGCTGAGTGGAAGTTCTTCAACTAGAAGGAAAGAGAAAAACACACTGAGACTGGGAGGAGGTGCAGAGGTGCGGAAGTGCAGAAGTACGGAGGAGCATGAAATGGGCTGGCAACTGGGTACGCTGTTGTCTTTCTCAATCGGGAGGGAGATACAAGCTCCTGACTGATCTGAACTCCAGTTCCAGGTGAGACTCTGGGGACCCAGACTCATATGGGGAGAAACTGGACTGTCTGGCATCCGGTCGGAGCACGAGGGCAGCTTTCTCTCAGAGGTGCTTGCAGGGATCATTGTTCCTGCATGGGGCCACAGAACACAGAGACCCCAGGACCTCTCCAAGGCAGGGCTGCTGGACAGCCATTGCTGTTTGCTCCACCCCGGTGATACCCTGAGACCCCGCCCCACCCAATTTACAATCCCTCCCAAGTTGTGTGCAGTGGCTTTTGCATATAAATGGCCTGGCCTTTTGCAATCTAAAACCTAAGAAACTGCAGCTGGGTCAGAGAGCCCCAGAGCTTCCAAAAGAAGGCCTGCATTGCTTCACAGCTGGGCCTCATCTGGGCACCTCCAAACCCCAAACAAAGAGGAGGAATCTGCAGATCTCTCTGTAGCTCCTGCTGGGTGGCCTCAGGCAGTGGCTGACTTTGCACCTCCTTGGATATCCAAGAGCCAGTGTACCCAGTGGTCAGAGTGAGACCATACCAGATTACAACTCTTCGCATCCATAAGAGACACACTCAGGAGGCAAACTCAGTGAGCACCAAAGCCCCACTGAAGCAAGTCCTGCCCTATAAGGGTGTCTCCAGCACAGCAGTTCTCCCATTGTAGACACAGCTGGTCCTCACAGCCAATTGGCCTAGAGGTCAATTCCTCCCAGTGATACCAACAGCAATCAAGGCTTAACTACAATAAGACTGTGCACACAACCCACAAAGGGGTGCACCAAGAGTGTCCACCTCAGGTAATTAGGGAGGCTGAGCCACTGGGCCCTATCGGACACCTAGCACACAAAGCCTAGCACACCTATCAACACAGGGAAGCAGCCAAAATGCGGAGACAAAGAAACATGTCACAAATGAAAGAAATGGAGGAAAGAAAACTACTGGATATAGAGTTCAAAACCACGGTTATAAGGTTTTTCAAGAATCTTCTAGAAACCTCCGAGAAATTTAGTGAGACCTTCAAGGATATGAAAAAGGACCAATTACAAATTAAGCATACACTGACTGAAATAAAAAATAATATACAGAGATCCAATAGCAGACTAGAGGATCCCAAGAATCAAATCAAAGATTTGAAATATGAAGATGCAAAAAACACCCAACCAGAAAAGCAAAAAGAAAAAGAATCCAAAGATACGAAGATAGTGTGAGGAGCCTCTGGGACAGCTTCAAGTGTACCAACATCCAAATTATAGGGGTGCCAGAAGAAGAGAAAGAGCAAGATATTGAAAACCTATTTGAAGAAATAATGACAGAAAACTTCCTCTACCTGGTGAAAGAAATAGACTTACAAGTCCAGGAAGCTCAGAGAACCCAAAACATAAGGAATCCAAAGAGGACCACACCAAGACACATCATAATTAAAATGCCAAGGGCAAAAGACAAAGAGAAAATATTGAAAGCAGCAAGAGAAAAATGGCTAATTACCTACAAGGGAGTACCCATACGATTGTCAGTTGATTTCTCAACAGAAACTATGCAGGCCAGAAGGGAGTGGCAAGAAATATTCAAAGTGATGAATAGCGAGAATCTACAACCAAGATTACTTTACCCAGCAAAGCTATTATTTAGAATTGAAGGGCAGATAAAGAGCTTCACAGATAAGAAAAAGCTAAAGGAGTTCATCACCGCCAAACCAGTATTATACAAAATGCTGAAGGGTATTCTTTAAGAAGAGGAAGAAGAAGAAAAAGGTAAAGATAAAAATTATGAACAACAAGTACATATCTATCAACAAGTGAATCTAAAAATCAAGTGGAAAAAAAATCTGATGAATGGAATAAACCTGTGAATATAACGGAATCAGGGGCATAGAAAGGGAGTGGACTGACAATTCTCAGGGGGAAAAGGGTCTGGGGAGTGCAGGAAGAAGGGCAGAGGGTGGGGTGGGAACTGGGTGGAGGGGAGCTATGGGGGGAAAAAAGAAGAACAACTGTAATAATCTGAACAATAAAGATTTAATTTAAAAAAAAAAGAAAGTCTTCTGGGAGAGAGTGTCAACTTGTGGAATTGGAACATTTAGTGTTTTGAGAACCCAAGCACCAGAGATCAAAGGGACAAAATCCACGGAAACCCAACCCGCAGTAAAGGGGAGTCAGAGAAGAGACAGGTGCTTTACCTTTTGATACTGCATCCCTAGATTTTGGCTTGAGTTTTTGGTGACACTTAAAGACAAAAATGTTAGAGTGTGAAGTTAGGGCACTGTTTCCATTTTTATATCCAAAATGAGACAAAAATATAAATTTCCAACATCCTGTCTATGTATGTCTGTATTTAATGCACTCACTTATATTCCCTACCTCTACTCCACCCTTTCACCCCAACATTTTATTTTTCTACTTATTTCTCACTTCAAGTCTCTCCACATTCCTTACTTTCTGTTCCCTTTCTTAGGACAGGTTCTTTAGAGGGCTAAGCATGACACAGGAGCAATACTGAAATAAATTAAATGGTAATGGTGATTAGTTTTAACAGCCCTAGGACTTTTGCTTACTAAGTCCACCGACCAGAAGAAACCCCCATATTGGGATGTCTTCTGAGATCCAGTGAGATAGATTCCATTTCACCTAGGTCTCAACCCAAGGTAGACTGAGAGGTTCTTGATCTTTAAAATACACTGCAGGGATTGCTTAGTAAGAAATTACTTCTAGCCCTAACCGGTTTGGCTCAGTGGATAGAGCGTCGACCTGCGGACGCAAGGGTCCCAGGTTCGATTCCGGCCAAGGGCATGTACCTTGGTTGTGGGCATATCCCCAGTGGGGAGTGTGCAGGAGGCAGCTGATCGATGTTTCTCTCGCATTGATGTTTCTGACTCTCTGTCCCTCTCCCTTCCTCTCTGTAAAAATTCAATAAAATATATTTTTTTAAAAAAAATTACTTCTAGGCTCAGAGAAAAGCACCATATTAGAGTAACTGAATGTATAGTATAAAAATTGGCAAGAAAGGTAAAAGGAGGCTCTGAGATCTTGAAAAGCTTCTTATCTAAAACTTAACTAGTTCAATTACTGTGTTATTATTTCCCTACCTGGTAGCAGCTCCTTTTAGGTTCCAACCTTAACCCATAGTAACTCCTCTTCACTTGCCAGATAATTAGGATAATAAGGAAGATGGCACCATATGTATATAAGAAATATCCAACACTCCGAAGAACAAAAGTAAAGCTCAACATGGCTTTAGCATGAGGGGAGGAGCCATCCCTATATCTAGGCGTTCAGGATCCTCCTGTCTAATGATTCCCAATGCTCTGCCTTGTCATCTCCGCCTCACAGAGAATAGAACCCGGTCACCAGGCTGCATCACAAAGCCCTTCTGTTTCACAAGGCAGGCGTCATGTCAAAGACTTTTTTATTTTAAATATATTTTATTGATTTTTTTTTTTTTTACAGAAAGGAGGGAGAAGGATAGAGAGTTAGAAACATCGATCAGCTGCCTCCTGCACACCCCCTACTGGGGATATGCCTGCAACCAAGGTGCATGCCCTGGGCCGGAATCAAACCTGGGACCCTTCAGTCCGCAGGCCGATGCTCTATCCACTGAGCCAAACCGGCTAGGGCAGTGTCAAAGACTTTTATGTCTTAGGGAAGCTTGTGTGGTGATTCAGTCTGTCCATGAGGATATCAGGTTGTCTGGTTGTAAAGGTTACAGAGCCAGAGGCCAAACATCCTGGCTCACAGGCAGTGTCTATGCTCCCACTTTCTCCTCATTCTCCACACCTACACCAGCCTGATGGCTTGGCTCTCTCCTTCATGACAACTGTGTGGTCATCTGTCCCAGAAAATTGAGTGTTTAGGGACACAAGCATCTCTTGAGGAAGAGGGACAGAAGAATCTCCATGAGCAACAATAAGGTGTGACCCTTAATTGAAAGTGTCACTTCCCTCTACAAAGAACCATATTCCAGGAGGGAGAGAAACTTATCAACACGCAGAACACTTATCAACATTTGGCAGTAGGAAATGCAGTCTGTTTTTACCAGACAATTAAGTGGGTGGATTGGAGAGGACTTGTAAGAAAGATTGGAGGAAGAGGTGAGGCCTCTGGATGAAGGGACAGTGCATTTACTTGACTTCAATCACCAAAAATAATCTGTATTATAAAAGCCAAAGTGACCATTATGGCAGAACAACCGGAATGACCGGTCGCTATAATGCACACTGACCACCAGGGGGCAGATGCTCAACACAAGAGCTGCCCCCTGGTGGTCAGTGAGCTCCCACACGGTGAGCTCCCACATGGGGAGTGCCACTCAGTCAGAAGCTGGGCTCATGGCTGGCGAGCACAGTGGCAGTGGTGGGTGCAGGCGGGTGGTAAGGAGCAAGGGGTCCCAGACTGCGAGAGCCCGAGACTGCTAGAGCCCATAAACCCAAACTGCTAGAGCCCGTAAACCCAATCAGCCAAAACAGCCCCGGACTGGAGATCGGGCCTAGGCTGAAAGGCAGATACCACCCGAGGGGTTCCAGACTGTGAGAGGGCATTATTCAGTTACAGAGGGACAGAGGGACTCCGCCCCCACCCCATGCAGGAATTTCATGCATCGGGCAGAGGGACTCCGCCCCCACCCCATGCAGGAATTTCATGCATCAGGCCTCTAGTTGCTTTTATAATAAGTAGACATAAATATACATGCTTTTAAAAAAGCATGTACTATGCCCCTTTCCCACTCTTGTCTCCCCTTTTGTTTCCCCATGTATCTTTAAATTAACTTAGCAAAGGAAGGATAAATAAACTGATATATTTTCTGCACAAATGAAAAGATGTGATAGACCTGTTTTCTCTCTTTCTTGTTTTATTTAATCATATAAATATAATTTTTCCATTGCTCCTAGGGCAATGGAAACCAAGGAGAAAATAAACAAATGAGACTACATCAAAATAAAAAGCTTCTGCACTATCAACAAAACCATCAACAAAGAAACCATCAACAAAACAACAAGAAAGCCCACTGCATGGGAGAACATATTTGCCAATGCTATCTCAGATAAGGGTTTAATCTCCAAAATTTACAGGGAACTCATACAACTTAACAAAAGGAAGATAAACAGTCCAATAAAAAAATAGGCAAAGTACCTAAATAGACACTTTTGAAAAGAGGACATACAGAAGGCCAAGAGACATATGAAAACATGCTCAAAGTCACTAATCACCCAAGAAATGGAAATCAAAACAACAATGAGGTACCATCTCACACCTGTCAGAATGGCTATCATCAACAAATCAACAAACGACAAGTGCTGGAGAGGATGTGGTGAAAAAGGAACACTCGTGCACTGCTAGTGGGAATGCAGACTGGTGCAGCCACTGTGGAAAACAGTTTGGAGTTTCCTCAAAAAAATTAAAAATGGAAATCCCATTCTACCCAGTAATCCCACTTCTGGGAACATATCCCCAAAAAACAGAAACACCAATCAGAAAGGATATATGTACCCCTATGTTCATAGCACAATTTGCAATAGCTAAGATTTGGAAACAGCTTAAGTACCCATCAGCAGATGAGTGGATTAAAAAACTGTAGTACATGCCCTAACTGGTTTGGCTCAGTGGATAGAGCATCAGCCTGCGGACTGAAAGGTCCCAGTTTCGATTCCAGTCAAGGGCATGTACCTTGGTTGCGGGCACATCCCCAGTGCGGGGTGTGCAGGAGGCAGCTGATCGATGTTTCTCTCTCATCGATGTTTCTAACTCTCTGCCCCTCTCCCTTCCTCTCTGTAAAAAATCAATAAAATATATTTTTTTAAAAAACAAAAAACTGTGGTACATACACAATGGATTACTACACTGCAGTAAAAAAGAAGGAACTGTTAAAAAAGGCAATGAAAACATATCTTTGGGTGAGGATTAAAAAATAAAAATAGCCGTAACCGGTTTGGCTCAGTGGATAGAGCGTCGGCCTGCGGACTGAAAGGTCCCAGGTTCGATTCCGGTCAAGGGCATGTACCTTGGTTGCGGGCACATCCCCAGTAGGGGGTGTGCAGGAGGCAGCTGATCGATGTTCTCTCTCATCGA